GCCCCCCCCCCCCAGCCCCCCACCCCAGTGCTCCTTCATAGCAGCAGTAGTGGCTTCTCCATCCTGTTTTCAGCAACATCCTATACAAAACTGTGCTGTGACCGTGCGTAGGCCTGGATCTGGCAAAGAGAATAAAAATGAAACCCCTTCTTTCTCTGTCCATCAAACAGCTCTGTAGAGCTCTCCGCCCTTTACCCTTCTCACCTTTTGTATTTAATTTTAAAGTCAGTGTACTGCAAGGAAGCTGGATGCAAGATAGATACTATATTAAACTGTACTGTTATTTAAGATGTAATAAAGCAGTTTGACATGAGGGACTTGGTGGTGATTATTTGCGGGGCCATTTCAGTTTGGGAGGCGGGTTGTGCCTTCCCCTACTGCTCTGGGGTCTGCCACATCTGCCACATCACAGAGTCTACACGAATGGAGCTTGGCTCCTCAGAGAGGCTCCTGGGAAGCTCCAGGTCACAGGCCTGCGGAAGGCGAGGGCCACCTGCCACCCCCAGACCCACCAGGCTGGCTGCATCCTGTGCCCGGGGTGTCTGCCCTGACTGCCTCTTCCTGTTTCCCTCCCCTAAAATAATCTGGGGACAGTGTCACTCCAGAGACATGCCTTCTGTTTGACTGAACAGGGTTTTCATCTCAGTCTGAACGAAAGAACTGTGTTTTGACCATCTGCCACAAACGTGCAGAAAAAACCCTTCGACTACGTATTCCTAAAAAAGCCCACACCCAGCCCTCAGGATCCTGTCCACGCCCCTGCTTTTCTAGGCTGTGTGACACAATTTTTTTTCATCTTAAATAGTATGTAGGATTATAAAAGGTAGCTTTGTGACTTTCATGGCTCCAGCGCTGGTACTTTTTCATAAATAAGTGAAGAACACTCTCAGTGGCAGTGTTCCAGCCTGAGGCTCCCTTTTCTAGTTACCAGCAGAGATCCAGCAGCAGGGGTGGTGGCACTTGGGATTGTAACATTAGCAGGTCCTGGCTGCCTTTACCAGTCCAGGTGCGGTGTTGGGGAGCCCCCCAAGCTGCCACAGCTATTTTGACAAGTAACAGTGCAGCACTGTCTCTGGGTGGGGCAACCTGAAGCTGTTTGGTCTGCCGAGGTGAGAGTGCTTGGCAGGCTGCACAGGGTGGGCTTGCCTGGCTTTGTCCTGCTCCCCGACTTCTCCCTGAAATAAATCTGCCCTTCATAGACAACAAATTCTTTGCAAACTTTATCCCTGCCAGGTGTCTTACAAAAGCCCTGTATAAAATGCTGGAGAGCACCTGAGGCCCTTCCTGGTGGCCTGGAGTCCTTGGGAGGGAGGGGCGCCCACAGACGAGAGATGCCTGCTGTGGCCTGCCCTCAAAGGAGCACGAGGTAAAATAACAGTGAATCTCAGCAAGGGCTGGCTACACCACTGACTCCACTTCCTCCGTGTGGGAATTCCTGTTTCCTTTTGTGTCCCAGTCTGGCACCCAGCAGGCCAACAGAGCTGACATGTGGGACCTGTCCCCTCACCACTTCCTTCCCTTTAGCCTTGGCCCAGAAGAGCTAGAAGTGACACGCCCCTCCCTGGCAGCCCACCCCTCCAGTGTTCACCTTCTTAGCAGAGCCATCACCGATAGTAGGTGTCCCATGCAGGCATCTGGACAGTGGCACCGGCCAGGGCAGGGTGGAAAGCAGTGGATGAGTCTGCAGCGGCTGAGTGAGCTACAGCCGTGTTCAAGCTGCAGGCACAAAACTGAAGTCTGCACAGACTGCTTGCAGCCCTGTCGGCAGGAGCAGTGCCTGTTACCACATGCTCTGAGCAGCCCACCCTCCCTTCCACGTACCTTCCTCCAGCTTGTCCTGCAGCCCACCTGTCCCAGGTGCATACTAGGCAATGGGGTGGCCTCCGCAGCTCTGCCCACCTGTGGCTACCTGCCCAGCTCCGTACATGGCTTCCTCAGCCCTCCTTTGACTAAGGGGCTCACAGCCACTCCTGTCTATGTTGGCCCTCCTTTCCACCCCATCTTTGTTTGCCGCAGTACCTGGACATGGCCTGCATGTCCACTGGGGCAGGGCAAGCATTCCGTGTGTCCCCTGCCGTCCCCGCACCCAAAGGAGTCTGGCCCACAGCTGGGGCTTCCCTGCAGCCTGGCACTGCTGCCACCATGCCCAGGGGTCCCACCTGCACCCCACCTCCAGCCAACCCCCCAACCCCTCCCACCTCCACCTACTCGCCAGATGGCCCCCTGGCCAACTCTGCCCCTTCTCTTCCTCGCTGGGAGATCATGGGTGTGTTATTTGACCTCTCTGTGCCTCCAGTTCCTCGTGTAGAAAATGTGGTCAGCAGGGATCTTGTGAGGATGCGGAGCCCCCACAGGCTGGGTGTTGGAGCAGCCCACAGATTACTATCAGTGACCCCTGCCCACCCCAGGCTCCCTGCCTCAGGGCCCCAGCCCGCTGTTCCCTCTGCTGGTGGGATGCTAGTCCTGAGCACGCCTAGTCAAGGCTGTTCCCCTGCCCCACCCAACCAGCCTCAAGTTTCTTTCTCTGCTGATTCCTCAGTGTGCTCGGCATGTGGCTGGTGTTCAGGAAAGGGGGCTGCTGCTGCTTCTCCCCTTTGCCTCAAATCAGCCCAAACAGGAGATTGTCAAGTGGGCAGTTCCAAACACTGGCCCCTGGGGAGGGCATAGGGAAGGCCAGGCAGGATGGCCCCAGTCCTGGCTCTCAGGCCCGGAAAACTGGGCGGGGTTAGGCCTGAGCTGGGTGCACTGGGTGGGAGCCAGAGACTGGGGGATGGACAAAGTGACCTTGGGGTAGCCTGTGACACTGGCCTCCTCCACAGGGGCCCTCAGTTCCTCCTGGCCACTTCCCCTTTCAGGTGCTAGGCAGCCTCTGTTCACCCCAGCCCAGTCAGCTGAAGCCAAATTCCCAGCCCCCACAGAGCTGGGAGCAGGACCCCAAAGAGGTGCAGCCTACACCTGAGCGTCATCCTCACCCCCCTGCCCAAATAAAATGAGCCAGCTCTGGGCAGCAGCCCATCCTGCTCCTCCCCTTTCCTACTGGCCCCCATCATTCAGCTTTCAGAATTGGGCAGGTCCAGGTTATGGGGTCATCTGAAGTGTAAGCAATTTGGGAGGCCATCCTTAAGAAAGAATACAAAAAAAAATACCATATTAACATTAACAAAGTCTGCAACTGCCTTGAGCAGCTGTGTGGCAGCTCTGGGCTGGGAAACATCAGGGCAGGGTCATGTCACCCACCGCTCCCCCAACCCCTGTTCCAGCCTGGGAGGGAGCCTTTCCTGACTCCCCAGCCCCTCTGAGGCAGAACCTCATTTGCGTTATCTGGCATGGACCCCCTACCCGCCCTCCGCCAGCCCCATGCATGCCTTTGACCCTGCTGCAACTTCCTTCTGGGTGCCCTAAGGTGCCCCTCCCACTTCTGGCCTTAGTTATTGCCAGTCAGTCCTGGGGTGGGGCTGGGGGCGAGCTTTAGGCTGCTGAATCCCCAGGTCCCGCCCCCAGGCTTGCTCTGAGAAGTTGCACAATCAGGGTCGGCTGAGGCAGCCACAGGCCTTGTTTTCTGGTCTCTGAAACGGGGAAGTGCTACTGCCAGCAATCCGAAAGTCCTGAGTAGACAAAGGCCTCCCTGGTCACAGACATGGGCACCTGCCAGAGTGCCCTTTAGAGGGGGCGCACAGGAATGGCGCTTGCTGAGTAACCTTGTGCTGATGACACGGTGCTCAGCATCTCTGAGGAGCAGGTGACTGCACCCGCTCCAGAAGGTTCTCCGGAGGCCGGGCACATTGCCTGGCACATGGGTGTGCTCGACCTCAACTAGGCATTAGTAGTAGTATGCTAATGATCACATCCAAAAACACAGCTCAAGGCTTCTCCTCCTGTGGATGTGGCTGTTGATTGCTTTGGGGAAGCTGTTGGGTTTTCAAAATTACCCATGGGGAAGTTACAGTTTAAGAAATCCCCCCAGTTCCTGCCATACTTGCCCCACTTTCCGGTCACCCTTTGTGCCCTCCTTTGCACAGTCGTCCCGGAGCAGTGGTGCTGTTCTTTCCAGGAAGATACGGCCAGGCCATGTTTCAGGTCTTCAGACACAGGCCTCAGGAGTCCTGGTCCGAAAGCAGCTTGACCACAGCAGGTAGGGTATCGTCGGGAAGACAAGCAGAGGATCAAGTCCACACAGGGCCCGGCCAGGGCAAGGGGCCTTATGTTCCAGAGTACAGAGAAGGAATGAACATTTAGAAATGATGGATGGCAGGGCCGGCCCGTGGCTCACTCGGAAGAGTGTGGTGCTCATAACACCGAGGCCACGGGTTCGGATCCTATATAGGGATGGCTGGTTGGCTCACTGGCTGCGCGTGGTGTTAACATCACCAAGCCAAGGGTTGAGATCCCCTTACCGGTCATCTTTTTTTTTTTTTTTTTTTTTTTTTTTT